CCCCCCCCGCCCCCACCCCCTGCCCTTCCCAGACGGAGTTCACCTTAAAAGGAACTTCAGCCTAGAGGAGGTAAGGGGAGATGTCGGAGATCGATTTTGAGCTGGATTTTTAAAGCATAAATAGTTAAGTAGAGGGCAAAGGGAGAAACATATTTCAGGCGGGAGGAACGGCAGGCACGAGAGCGCGGAGGCGGAAATGTGCGCAAGGTAGAGTCTGGTGTTGCCCGCATGTGGGGATGCTGCTGGGGCTAGAGTTTGGAGGCCTGAAGTTTTTTCTTTGTTTTAAATTTACTCCCAAGTAGTTTACAAATTTTTACTTATGAAGGTGGAATGTATTTTTCCCATTTCCATTTCCAACTGGTACGATGAGTAGAGAGAAGACTATCGTTCAAATTTTTTTTTTTACTACAACAACAACCATACTGACTTTTATTAATTTTCGACTAGAATTTAAGTTTTGCAGATATGCAGTCATATCAAGGGAAAATGAAAATATCTTCCTTCTAATATTTATAAAAATTATATACTCTTCTTGACAGACTGCATTTGATAGACTCCATAATGATGCCAATAACGATGACAGAAATCATGCCTTGTTTTGTCCCTGATTTTAATTAAAATGATTTTAGCATTTCATCATTTAGAATATTTGCCGCTATATTTGGTATATGTTTTACAATATTTAACAGCTTTACTCCTAGTGTAGAGTTTTTATTAGTAATAATTGTTCAATTCTATTTATTGATTTTGTATCGTCAATGATCATATGGTTTTTCTTTTAATTTATTGATGTAATAAATTATGGTATTAGGTATCCTGATATTGATAACCTAACTATTCCTGATCTGCTATAATAAATAAATCCCACTTGGTCATGGTGTATTATTCATTTCATACATTGCCATATTTGGTATATTTTCATATATTGAGCATATTTGCTGAGTTTTTATATTTTTTGCATTTGTATTACTGTGAGATTGGCCTAGTTTTTTGCATACTGTTTTAACATTAAGATTATGATGGCTTGCTATTAATGCAGAAATGTCCATATTTTATAAAGTCTGCAATAGTTGAAGGAACACTGAGATTATTTGTTCTTTAAAAGTTAGCTAGAACCTGGCGGGAAACCATTTTTAGTGGGATGGCGTCAACCATTTTTGATTTTTACTTTAGAAATTGCTCTGTTCGAATTTTTCTGCTCCTTCTAATATCAATTTTGATAATTTATAGTGAGAGAAAATTATCCATTTCTGTTAGATTTTCAAATATATTGTACAGCGGTGTATGTAGTAATGTATTACAATTCATCTAATGTATTTCTTGTTTGTACTTGCGTACCCTTTCTCATACAAAATCTTGTCTATTTTTACTTTTTAACAAGACTTATGATAACTTCATGTTATTCATCACTTGCTTTTTCAAAAAGCTAGCTTTGGATTTATCCTTTTGACTACTTTTTACCTTGTATTTCATTAATCTCAGATGGCATTTAATCTATCAGTTATCTTTTTATATTAATTATTCCTCTATCCTATTAAATTCATAAAAGTATTAGTTTTTCCTTTTGTCACTTTTAGTTTTATGAAGAACCATCATTTTTAGTTCTTACTGTAAATTTTCTTCTAATCGTATATTTTGCCTTCATTCATAGGTTTTAGTGTCAAATAGGCTTATTTTCATTAGTTTTTTTTTTTTCTTTGCAATAAGGGTATTTTAGGAGCATTTCTGAATTTCCAGCTGTTAAAGTGGGGTATCTTCTGATCTTAATTTTATTTATAATTATTGCTTTAGAATAATGTAGGTAGCCCTAACATAGTTGCTTTTCTGAATGTTAATGTTGTGGTTTTTTGTGTGTGTGTGTGTGTGTGTGTGTGGTGAAAATACAGATGATTTTTGTAAATACTTTTGATGAGTGTTCTCTATTCGAATGTAAAGGTCTGGTTTGTTAACTGCATCGACAGAGTGCTCTATGTGTGTCTTGTTATTGTCTATCTGACCTGTTTGGTTATGAAACAGGTGTATTAAAATTCCCGACTACGGCTGCATTGCTATCCGGTTCTCTTTGCATTTCTAAATATGGATCGATAGTTGCTGTAGTTTTGGTGTGTGTGGGTTTCAAGGTTTCACCGGTTTGCATTTATTATCTCTTCGTTTATCCTTCTGATTTCAATCTTTCTGTGCTACCTGGTTTTAAGTGTGTCTATAGATTTGATTTCAACCAATTATTTCCTAATTTGGTGCCGGTTCCATCTTCTGGAGCATTCTCTGTAGATGAGGGGATACATGGCGGAGAAAGTCCCTAAGTGTTTCTGCATCTGCAAATATCACTCACTCGCCCCAACGGCGACCTCCAGGGGGGCAGGGACAGGATCCTCGCTCTCAGGAGACTGTGCTGCCACTGTGCTTCCAGGCCGATGCTACTTTGATTCTTTCTCTTTGTAGGCGAATTGTTCTTCCTGGTGCGATTCCATCAGTCAAGCTCGGGAACGTCACCAGGATATGTCAGGGGCGACGAGCCTGGGCCTCCCATAGTTACACACGTGCGAGGCGGCGCCCGGGAGGGAGGCGGTAACCTGCCCGGGGTCTCATAATGAGTTAGTGGCTGAACTGGGATTCTTTATCGTGTTCTGGACTGACTGCTGGTCCCTAGGAGGGTGACGGGGTCAGGTGGCCTTAGCCATCCCTGTGTGTGTACGGTGGAAACTAGGAAAATTATGAGCTGCATGTCTCACTAACACAAAGGGAACCCCTTTGCAGAAGGGGCCATAGCCTTTCCCGAGACATTGGACCCTCTTCTGGGTCAAGGTGAGTCTCATATAGGAAAAAAAAACATAGTAATCAGAATAGCAATGATAATTGTGCCCGTCAGCTAACATTTTCTGAGTGCCTATGTGCCAGGCACAGGTTGAGGGGCTTGGTGGGGGCGGGTACTGCAGTCTCACAAACATGGCACACTCGTGTAACAAATGAGCAGAGAGACTGAGTCACGTGCCCAAGATGCCAGAGCTAAGTTATGGTGGATCCAGGAAAATGTGAACCCAAGTCGTCACTGCCTTTTTCTGGGCACCTGTCCTGGTCACCCTCTGGACAGAAATGACCCAGAGTCCTGGTCTTTGGCTGAACAGATAGTTTAGATTTCTAGCGGGCCATGGGTGGGACTCCAGGGTCCAATTCTGCAGTCGTGGAGACAGAGGGCATTGTATTATCAGCCTCCAGCCCTCTGCCTGAGACACGCACCCTGCTCTGGCATCTGCAGAGTGCCCTGAGCAGAGGGTCAAAGGGAGGGGAGGCGAATAAATTCCCTTCTCTAGTCTAGCTGCTCATACTTTGCCAAGATTTACTTTCGAAATGTGTTCAGATTGCTTTCCCGGGATCTTTTACTGACCTGTAGCCAGAGTGACCTTTTAAAAATTCAAATCCAACTCGGTAGCTGGTTTCCTTCTTAAAATGTTCAATCACTCGCCACTGCATTCAATCAGGTTTACGTTTTGGAAAGGCCCACCCGAGACTTCTGCTTTCAGTCAAGATGGGGTAACAGAAGCCAAATTTACCCTTTCGCCTTAAACGAAACAAACAAACTAACAAACAAACAAACCAGGGCCTGTTACATGAAACAGTGGTTTTCAGACACTGAACAACAGGCAATACAAGGCAACGATCCTCGAGAGGTGAAACAGTAGGTGAGTCCCACGAGGCCCTGGCCGGCTGCCGCGACGCAGAGGGCGGAAACGGACAGACACCACAGCTTCCCCGAGTCGGGCACACGGAGCAGATGGGCCAAGGCTGCTAGAATTTGCTAGAATTCCCGGGGCGGAGCAGCAGGAGGAAGCGGCTGGGATTGCCACGGAGGTCTGAGAAGACCCCTCTCAGCCGAGCCCTACCCGGGACGTGCAGAAAGGTCACCGACCTCGTGGACGAGACCACTACGCGGCTTCCATGACGCGCTCCACGTGCTCGGCAAGGCCGGGGCGTGGGAAGGAGAGACACGGGATGGAGAAGTGACCCAAACTGAAGTTCTAGAACGAAACCCACCACATCGCAATGAAAAATACCTTCGATGGGATCCATATGGCCAAGAAAAGATGAGTGAACTTGAAGACGCAGCAAGAGAAAATATAAGAAAAATCAACACAAAAAGAAAAGGCTGGGGGGAAAAACACAGTAAGTTCTAGGTCTTCGCGTGGCCTGTGGCGCCTGAGAGGGAGGGAGGGGGTGGAGGACCGAAAAAAATATTTAAAGAAATAACGGCCCCAATTTTTCCCATTTGCTGAAAACTATAAACCAAGAATGTCAACACACCCCAGACGCAAACGTGAGAAACACGACGTGGATGACGTGGACGCCCACTCTGATCGACCTGCTCGAAAAGAAAGTCTTCAGAGAAGCCAGAGCGAAGGGGCCCCCACCAGAGCACGCGACCGAAGACGGCGGCCCCCGTCCCTGAGGACGCGACACAAGCTAGCGGGCAGGCGGGCCACGTCCGCAACGGGCGGGCTGCTGTGGACGCTGCCGCGCTGACAACGGTGTGACTCTCGGTCCCTGCGGGGGAGGACCGCTCGGGCGGCGGGGGCCGGGTGCCCTTACCGGTCTTCTTGGTGCCGTCCTTGGCGTAGCTCCCGGGGACCATGCTCAGGCGCTTCCCCTTGGTCTCCAGCCCGTAGAGCCTGCGGTACATGACGGCGTCTCCGTCCTTTCTGGAGCTGAGCCTGTGGGCCTTGCGGGGGAGCAGGACAGGGGTCTCACGCTGGGGAGCAGGTGCTGGCCAGCGTCCTCCCCTTCCCCCCCAGACTGAGTGATTTCAGGGGTTTGCTGACAGGTGAGCGAAGGCCCAACGGGGAGGCGGGAGGCGGCTCCGGGGCGGGGGCGGGCGTGGGGCAGGGCGGCAGGGCTGTCCCGCAACCCCTGGCTTTTCCGACTCCATCTCAGGGAGGGGTGCAGGGCTGTGGACACCACAGCCTGGGGCACTGAGGTCTGGGTGTCTCCTGCATGGCTGGGGGAGGAGGCAGACAGGACCCTCAACCACAGGAGTGCGAGTGGTCCCTGTCCCCGGGGGAGGGACCGTTTGTCAGGCTGCGCTGCATGGGGCGAGTCCCAGCTCGGTGTCAGTGTGAGGCGGGAGTGGATTTTAGAGCCTTGAGAAAACTTTGTAAGCAGCAGCCAGACACTGTGCAGGAACAGGGACCTGGTGGGGACGCGGTGGCTCTGAGGGGCTGTTACCTGCTCAGGGAATGACAGCTGGTGGCGATCTCTCTTCTGTTTCTGGATGTTTTTGCCTTTCTTGTCTTCTCTCCTACTTGCTTTAGGAGATGTCACTGGCTTGGCTTTGTTCTTCTGCAAGGGCGGGAGGGGCGCGCTGTCACCCCCATGGCACTGACCACTCTGTCCCCACAGAGGGGAAGCTCCCTGGCGAGCGGGATCTGGCACTCCTGTCCCCCAACTGTGCCTCTCCCCCTAACATACCCTGGTGTCCGCATCACACGGCCCCCACGGCTGGCTGCAATCTTCACTTCAGAGCCCATCACTGGCTCCCTCTCACCCTCCAGGTAAGAGCCCCGTCCCCAGCCTGATAAAAATTCCTTCCAGCCCCACAAAGGCCTTTCTAGCTGCCACTCCCCTGCCTTGGCCTCTGGTCTGGAGCCGCAGAAAGGCCACCTTGATTTCGAGTCCAGTAGGACTCTCCCTTTGTCCCCAGAACCCCTCCTGCCCTCAGTCCTCCCCACCCCATCCTGTCTTCCCAGAGCTGTCACCCCAATTCACCCCACCTTCCTCATTTCCCGGGGCTCCTCACGGCCATCGAGGGCTGAGCACGTGCGCCTTGTGCATGTGCCTGGCCTTCCACTCTCCCCGGGCACATTGGGAGTACCAGGGTCCACTGAGGAGAGGCCCCCAGGGGGCATCCAGGTCAGTCCATAAAGGGTAGGGTGGGGTGCTACAGCATCACAGGGTGCCTCTCACTGACGGGGCCTCCTCGGGGCGTGCCGCTGCTGGTTGTGGGAGATGGTGGCCGAGACTGGTCTCTAGGTCAGATGGCCAGGCCTGGCACCCTGTCTCAGGCTTAGTGGCTGAGCATCCTGGGGCAAGTGCCTGCTCCCTCTATGGCTCAGATTCCTCGTCTGATGATGGGGACAGCAGGAGGATCTGCCTCCTGGGGCTGCTGTGAGAAATGCATGGATCACTGCGTGGGGGGCCAAGCCTTCCTTTTACGCTGGTGACCTACGTGGGCAGGAGTGTTTGATAAGCCGGTCGGGTGTACGGAAGGGCGCTGTCCAAGGGCGTGCTGAAGGCCATCCGAGGAGGGGGTGCTGGCCAACCTTGGGGTTTTGTTTGGATTAATGGGGAGAGAGGGGCGCGAGCTGGGGCCAGGTTAAGGGGAGAGCGGCCAAGGGCAGCTCCTGCAGAGGTAGGTCCCCTTCCACCTCCCCCACGACCCTCAGCCTCCCCTCGGGAGTCACTGGAGCAGCTTCCGGCCCGTTCTGGGAAAGCCGCGTGGAATGGATGTGGTGATGCCACAGACCAAGGGTCTGTAGCAGCCACTGAGTCGAGGCCCGTGGCCTGGACTTTGGACCTCGGGGTCTTCTCTGATGTCAAATGGATCACGAGGGGCACAGCCCAGACCAGGAGAGGCGGCCACAGCCAGCGCCCCTCCAGGTATCGTCTCTGACAGGCCCCCCGCCACCCGTGCTGTCTGAGGCCTGCCCTGGAAGCTTCCACCTCATCCTCAGCCGAAATCCAAGTGCTTCTGGGGAGGGTAATGATGCTTGAAGGTTCAATTGTGTTTTCTGTTCCCTCCCTGGGTCCAAAATTATTTACAATAAAAGCCACATATAAGGTAACACTGTGAAAACATTATTAGGCTATAATCCTAGTGAGAAGAAATGGGACCGAACATAGTAATCAGAGGGGTGAATATGATTTCTGTGATGGATACTAAACTGCATTCTGAGCAACCTGGCGGTTGAGTCTCCACACCCCAAAAATGGTGGGGGGTGGGGCAGGAGGCAGGTGGCAGCAAGTCGTTAGCACCTCAGTGAAACATGCTGGTCTGAAGACCTGGCAGCCCAGGGTCTGTCTGGCGGGGTGAGGCTTGCCTGAAGGGCGGGCAGTGCTGCAGGACGGGGCGTCGGCCCAACGCAGCCCGTGACCCGGGGACTGCATCGGTCTGAGCCCGAGTCCTGGCTCGGCCCTTAACAAACTGCGAGCTCGAGTGAAGGACTCCTCTTCCCCCAGCTTCATTACCCTTCGGCTGGGGAGAGAGGACGATGCCCGTCTGCAGCCTTGCGGGGGCCGGTGACGAGACAGCTCATCGCAGTGCTAAGCATGGGGCCTGGACCTCAGGAAACGCTTCGTAAAAGCCACTGCCCTCAGTATAATGCCATTTTTCTCTGGGGACTGGGGGAGTCAAGGTCAGGAGACGACTTTCCAAGGACATGGCTTGATTTTCTATAGGCGATGGGCCCAGGGGGGAAACCGAGGCTAAACTGGTTGTCCCAGTTCCTGGAGGGGGAGGCGAGGGTGGTGCTCTAGACCGAATGTTTGCGTCCCCCCAAGTTCACACACTGACCTTGGCAGGTGACTGGGCCGTGAGGGCGGAGCCTCGTGAGGTGAGTGCCCTGATAAAATAGGGCCCCGCGGGCTCTCCTGCCTCTCTGCCATGTGGGGACACAGCGAGAAGACGGCCACCTGTGAACCAGGAAGCGGCTCCCGTCGGACACCATGTCGGCCGGCGCCTTGATCTAGGACTGCCCGGCCTCTGACCCTGTGTATGCCGGGTCCTGTTCCGGCAGCCTGGGCTGCTTAGAACTGGTTCCGATGCAGGGGGGAAGGGAAGGGGGATGTCAGGAGGAGTCCCAGTGGGGAGAGTGGCAGGGGACAATGAATGCCCCTTGACCCCGGAGCCATCACGAGGACGGAAGTGTCTGGGGCCGGTGGGAAGGACTCCACCCTGCCAACACTGAGACCCCAGAAGCCGCCACCCTCAGGCCTTCTCAAACACTGACCCAGTCGGCCTAACGCCCTTCACCTTGACTGAACCTAATGCCCTTCGCCTTGACAACCGGAAGGGAACTCCCTGGCTCCTGGCTCCAGGCTCCAGGCTCCAGGCCCAGGAAGCCCCTTATAGCATTTCCTTTAGGACATTCGGCTTGTAAATTCTTTCCAGTTTTACAACCCGGGAGGGTTTTTCTCAAGGACTTGGGAGGTATGCCTTTGAAGCATATTCATCAAGAAAGACGGTGCTTCCCCGCCACCCCATCTCCGCGGGAGGGCAGGAGCCCAACTACCTAAGTGACAATTAGCAGACACAGCCGGCCTGATCACATGATGGCCTCCCCCGACAGCCTCCAGTCCTTCTCTGCTAGCTCACCCCAGTGCTCAGAAACCCTCCTGCCTTTTCTCCTCGGAGTCAAGGTCAGTCTCTCCCCCATGCAGCCGTCTGGAACGAAGGCCCCCTCGCCCGCCCCCTCCGGCAGCACGCACCGGCTGAGCCTGCTTCTTCTTGCCCTGCCTCCGCTCCAGCCACTCGAACACCCGCGTGAGGTCGGACATGCGCCTCTCCTCGGCCGTCTTCCACATGGACTTCCGCTCCGTGGGCATCGAGCCCTTCGGGTCCTCGGACTTCTCCGCCATCATGGAGCCTGGCTGGAGCCTTCTCTGCCATCATGGAGCCTGGCTGGAGCCTTCGGCCAAAAGGTGGTAAACACTCACTTCGTCCATCCTTCTGTCTCTAGCTGCTGGCCCGGGTGACTCAGACAGCGGGGTGTGGGGGGTCCTGGTCCTAAAGGGTGTGTGGGAGGGTCTGCAGTGTGATTGTGAGGTCACTCTCAGGCTGGCCCTTGGGGTCAGAGTGGAGTGGGACACTGGCTTCCCCACGCGGCCACCGTCCCTCACCTGGATTCTGCCACGGCCTTCCCTGTGGCCTCTCCACGTCAACTTCCATAAAGCCATTACTAAGACAAAGGTCAGCCTACGTCTCTCCCTTTCTCAGAAACCTTCGATGGCTCCCTGTAGCCTACAAAAAAAAAGATCTAAATTCCTCGGTTTGGCATCTGAGCTTCCATTCATAATTAGAATGAAGATTTTCAGTCTCGATTACTTTTCTATTCATCAAAGAGATAGTTATCGGATGCCCACGAAGCGCCAGGCAGGGTGCTGGGGATGCCATGCAGAGAACAGCATAGTCAGACCTCCTAAAACACGTGGGCGAGTGGGAGGGACAGAACAGCAGCCAAATGATTACTCGAGGAACCCGTAACGACGGAATGAAGACGAGCCACCAAAGGAGAGGAATGTAGTTCTGTGACAGCCCGGGATGAAAGCAGCAGACCCGGCCGGGGCGCTAGCGAGAGGCACTAAGCGTAAACAGCCCTCGACGGGCGCGGGCGCCGGACCGGGGGGAGGACCACGTCAAAGGCCCCGCGGCTGGATGGGAGCACGCACACTCGAGGAGCAGCAGAAGGCCAGGGAGGCTCGCGAGAGATGACGCCGGACAGGCGGGCAGAGGCCAGACCGGACAGGACCTCGAAGGGCCACATGTTGGCTCGAACTGGGAAGGAAAGGGAAGAAAAGGGAAAGCCACAGAGAGATTCGAACAGAAGGCAGGGAGTGACAGGATCGGGCTTCCTTTTCCTCGTCTCAGTAAACGTTATCGAAGGAAACTGTATAAGACACGTGCCAGTGGACGTGGTTCCATAGCGCAGCGGTCAGCACGTCTGCTTTACACGCAGACGGTCCTGGGTTCGCGCCCCAGTGGAGCCACGGTCCATGGTCTACGGCCTACGGCCACGCCATCCTGAACAAACCCGATGTCTGAGCTCGGAAGCTAAGCAGGGTCGGGCCTGGTTAGTACTTGGATGGGAGACCACCTAGGAAGACCAGGTGCTGTAGGCATAAAAAATAATTAAAAAAAAAAAAAATGTGCCAGAATCACAAATGAAGACACAGGTGCTGTAGGCGTAAAAAATAATTTAAAAAAAAAAGTGCCAGAATCACAAATGAAGACGTCTGTGTAACCGGTACCCAAACTCCCCATTACGGCCCCTGCTGGTCACTTTACCTCCCTCCAAGGGTGAGCACTACCCTGACCTGTAATTCGATAGGTTGGTTTTGTTGTTTGAGTGACAGAAACGGAATCAGACACACATCTTTGTATCTGGCTTCATTCATTTCATTATATATTTGCAGGATGTGAGCGATGAATTCTTTTAGCCTGTGCGTACGTGGACATGTCGTTATTTTTAACTCGATTTTGAAGGAAGCTTTGCCGGATAATACGGTTCTCGGCTAACACTTTGCCGGCACTTTGTATTTGTCATCCCACGGCCTCCTGCCTGCCATTGCTTTATGCGGCGAGTCGGCTGTTAATCACACTGCAGTAACAGCTCCCTCGTCCCCCCAGCCAGTGTCACGGCAGAACTAGGCCGTCCAGAGGCTCTGTGACTGCACGGGAGGGGCCCAAACTGCAAGACCGCTGGGGTGTCCGAGCGCCAGAGCTGGAGATGCTCGTGGAGGCCCCTGGTGCTCACTCACTTCACAGATGGGGAGGGACCAAAGCCCAGAGAGCCCAAGACACCTGCCCAGGGTCCAGGCAAGACAGTGGGTGACTCAGACACCCTGCTGCTAATGATGAGGCCTGGAACCTGTGTACTCCCCGAGACTTTCCATCTCCACCGCGTTGCACTGGGGTCTCAAGTTCAAGTACGAGGCAGGTTAACGTGGGGACGCAGCTGGCTGAGGGTTAGGCGGAAGGGCTACGTGGAGGGAGTTGGCAAGGGGCATTCAGCTTCAGCTTTGTGGCCGCGTGTGGAGTTCAGCCCTGTGAGGCCAGATCTTCTGATTTTTAAAGAAGAGCCCGAAATCCAGGTGTTTAGGTGAAATTAGTCAGAAACAAATTTAAAAAGAAAAAATGCTGATTGGACAAAGCCGACGTGGCCTTGCTCAGGCCTGGGGGTGGCCATGGGCAGCCTCTGCCTCCCCGGATGCTCACTGTGGCTAAAAGGTCCCTTGGGCCCAGGGACAGAAGTCGACCTGAGGCAGAGAGGGCGGAGGTGACCTGCTCAAGTCCACTTGGCTGGGAGTAAGCACCGCCAGGACTGAAATCCAGTTTTCTGACCCCCAGCCCATGACAGCAATGTGGGGTTCCAGGAGGGGAGTCTGAGGAGTGAGCTCAAGCAGCAGCCATCGTGGGCCAAGAAATCCACAAGTGCAGTCAGAGGCTTGAGCACATAGCCGCCCGTCCCGGCTCAGGCTGGGGACACGTGAGGCGGAATCCACAGGGGGTTTCGATTCGGCGCTGCCTGAGCTTCCTGCGGAGACGTCTACCTGTCTGTTTTACTTTGTCCTCCTTTCTGGCGTTTTAATACCCGGTGTCATTGCAATTCTCGAGGGCCATTTAAGAAATACATATCATCTTATTAGCGAGGACGGCCTCCCTGTGGCTGGTCCGTGTTCCGGGGACAGCCATTGGTCCTTGTCCCTGCGGGGTGTCCGAGGAGGGCAGCTCTGGCTCTCGGAGCGCTACATCTGCCCTCCTTTTCTAGGACATTCCGAGCAAATGTCTCAATTAGGCCGCAGGACGGATGTGCTGTGGATGGGCTGCGATTTACATGTTCCGAGTCCTGCGGTTTCCTTCGCCCGCCAGGGTCCCTCCTGTGCTCTGCGGGCCGCGGCTTCCCAGGGGCACAGGCCTCTGAGGGGGGCTGGGAGGCTGGGGCGACCGGCACCGGAGGCCCGGCCGAGGCCCCTAGCTCCGCTGCGTGGCTGTGGCGGCGTGACCTTGGCCTCGCTCTGCCTTTCAGTCTTGTGTTTCAACTTGTCAGTGAACAGGACTCCGCTGGGGGTTGCAAACCGGGGCGAGTGATATTCGGCCCACAGATATATTTTATTCAGCCTGCGAAGTGGTTTAGAAGTCAGGGCATTTCACTTAAAGCAACCTGGAGCTCAGATGTGCTTAATAAATAAGTGATCTCGTATGACTGGGACGAAGGCGCACGTGCCACCTGCTGCCACGGCCCCTCCCCAGCCACCTTCTCCCGTCCACGTCACCTGCTTGTCCCCAGAAGACATCCGAGGAGGCAGCAACCCTAAGCACTGTACAGAGGTACAAGGACAAAGTCGCCTGTCCCTCTGACCTGGAGAGGCAGGGACGCTCATGCCACTGGCAAGTCTGGGGGCCACAGATCAGGGACGTGGCGTCGCCTGGGCCCTCGGCCGTCTGGCTCCTGTGCTGTGGAGCTGGACTCACGCCTGCCTGACCCCACGCCCACCGCCTCCCAGGCTCTGACTGAGGCTGGGTCCTTCCAGGTCTTACTGTAAATGAAGGCCAGCGGGAGGGCAGAGGGGACAGGCCGAGGGGCCGGGAGGGCGTGGGAAGCTCTCGACACTCTGTTCTCAGTGGGGGGTGGGGTGGGGGGGGTAAAGTAGCAGGAGACTGTATGACGAGGGATTCACAGAGGGGCTGGGCGGAGCAGGGGGCAGGGCGCGGCGCTGGGTGTCCGGGTGACTGACGGGACCCAGTCCCCTCTCTGGCTTGCTGATTACATGGCCGCACGGGGACCTTGGTTTCCTCTGTAAATGACGATAATACCAGCCTCGCTTCTCTTGGGGGGGTATTGGGAGGGACTCACGAGACCAGTGCGGGTGGGCAGTCGGCCACAGGGACCGTGCGGGGTCCTGGGACAGGCTGGTGGCGCCAGATGACAGGGCGGTGTGGCACAGTGCTCACGTGCATGGTGCAGGCAGACGTCGGAAGTCACGGCCCTGCCACTCTGCCCACGTTGCTGTGGACATCGTTTTTAACCTTTTGCCTCAGTTTCCTGACCTGGACGAATGACGATCTGAGACCAGTAACCACGCCTGCGTCCGGGCTTGTGGCCAGGATTAATCTAGGCAGAGGTTCCTCACACAAGAAGCACGTGAAAAATATCAACTGACACTATGAGCTTGCGAAGCAGACGGCTACTTCCTCCCAGGGAAGAAATGCAGCATATTTCAGATAGAAAGTGACCCCGTCTGACCTATTTCACTCAGCATAATAACCTCTAGGTCCACCCGTGTCATTGCAAATGGTGGCGAGCCAGAGGGGAGACAGAGCAATCGGGGGGGTCGTTTCACACACTATATAAATGGCTAATCCGTGTACTGGAGACTTGGAACTAATAATACAATAAAACTTTTAAAAAAGTGACTGTGTCTAATTTACCAAGCACTCTCCCTCCCCCGTCTCCCCTAGGAGAAGGCTGGGGATTTTGAAAGCCTGGAGGCAGCGGGGCTGGGGTGGCACCGAAGGACAGGCTGGAGCCCCTTCATCCACAGGGCATTTAAGCAAGAGGAGCTCCAGGGCGTGCTTTCACGGGGCCCCCTGGGGCTGGAGCCCCTGGAGCTGAGCCTCCGTCATGCTCCTGCGCCCAGTCCCCTGGTTCCTGATTCTGATCCAGCCCGTTTGGGTGACCTGAGGTGATTGAGAGCAGCTGTGACTTTGACACCTTTCACGTTGGCCCCAAGTTCCCTATGACCCAACAGGAAAAGCTCATACTTCTTCACCTGGCGTTCGGTGTCCCCCGTGATCTGCTGCTCAGGTTCCACCTCCTTCCCCCACCCCGAGCCCCCACGTGCTGCCCGAGGTCCCCCCG